TCCTTACAGTTGGGGCACTCGAATTGTCGGTACCCTTGCTTCCCGCAGCCAAAGCAACTGCCAGGGAAGTCTCCTTTTCCGACGGCTGCATTGATGCTGGCCGAAGCACCTTGTGATCGAGGTGCACCACTGCATGCCCCACCATGTCCTCGACCTCAGGCAGAGAAGAAGTTGTTCAACTCGGGCCGACGGGCCCGGCTGATGTCGAGGATCTGCTTGACCTCAGTGGCGCGCTTCTCAGCTTCTTGCCACATGGTGAAGGTCTCGAGCTTGATCTTGCGGTATACGCAGGAGGGGATGCCGCTCAGGTACTTGTCGCGTAGCTCCAGGTCCCCATACCTGGAGTGGTCCGCCGGACCCTTGAACAACGTGGAGAACTCTGCAGCGGTGCATTTTTAATGGACTGACTTGTCCGCGCAGAGCTTAGTGAGCTCCACTTGTGCAGTGGTGGCATCGTCGAGATTGCCAAAGCAAGCCTTAAACGCTGTAAGGAAGGCTGCTTCGTTGGCGAAGGGGGTTGTTGCTCCCTGGACCCCAGTTTGGACAGCAGCAAGCTGGAAGAAGATGGGGGTGGCCCAGGTTTGCACATTACCATCGAGGAGACTGAGGGTGACTTGAACTTTAAGTTCGATGGTCGAGAGCGCCGTGTTGATTGCCCAGTAGATGAGCAACTGTGATATGAACCGATTGCATTTGACCACCAATTTCCCATTGTAGCAGAGCGGGAGGAGGAGCTTCAACGTCTCCTTGTCCGGAGGGGGCATGGGTGAGGACATTACTGGCAACGAGGGGGACAAAGGCCTGCCTGCGGGCGAAGACGGCTGTTGTGACTGTTCGCCGGGCGAATTTTGACTGGAGCGAGTGCGCAAGCAGCCTCGCGGCAGCGACGGCGGTGGAGGCAACAGAGGAAGTCTGGTGGCGGGGTGACATACGACAGGGACTGGAGGCAAGGAGGGGACTGCTGACGACGAGCTGGCCCAAGAATGCGACGGAGTGTCTCGGGGCTCGGCCTTGGGAGGTCTTTCCAACCGCGGCCCCAAGGAGGGCTGGGGGATCGCTTGAGGGGTCGCTGTAGGCTGTGCGACTGCCTCAACTCTTCGAGGAAGATCGGGATCTCCTCGCACTTGACCTGTATTGGCGACAGGTTGGGGAATGCGAGTGCCTGGCGAGGCGGGTCAGGATGGGATGGGGGTGACGTGGCAAGAGGCTGATCGGGATGTGTGTGTAGACTTTTGTCCAAGAGGATGTTGGATCCTTCGGATGGGTACGAAGTGTCTGTCTTCGACAGTGATGGAACACAGGGTTCGATTGGGGCACAGCTGTCTGTTGCAGTCGAAGAAGAGGGAGTCTGGAGCGTCTAGACGTGCGACGTCGACGTGATCTTCCATGTCAAATGCATGCTCAAGTCCCGCGCAGTTGAAGGCTTCTTTAGCCACGATGGAGGGAGGGAGGAAGGGGAGGTGCGCATACTACGAAAGGCCGTTGTAGACTAGCTTACACCTACGGCGCCCGAGGTGACACTAGGGTTCACGATTCACGTGGGGCCCAGTACTGCTTTTGGCTAGTATGTAGCAGGAACCTAGTCCACGCGTCCATGAGGACAAGTACGGCCCACTGAAGTGCAGGTACTGAAGAGTTCGTTCCCTTAGTGTTGGTGATGTACGTATGCTATGTAGGTATCGTAGGGTACAGTAAGGGTGCGCACCACCCGGCCTATAGGAAAGGAAAGTGTGAGTGTATGGGTTTCGAGGAACACCGGCCGCTATGGGAGTTTCGACCTAATGTCGCAACTTGAGGTCAAGCGACAGGGGAAAACCTAAAAGCGGGGGGCGTCCGACTAATTCTCACCGAAGTGATGGTGAGCGATGCTCAAACCTAAGGCTAGGGACAAGTGAATATATTAGTAAGGTAAGAAGGAATACAAGGGAGGCTTACTGACCTAGGGACAAGAGGTCAAAACTGAGGTCCCTAGGGCAGCAGAGGCCGGCTTATATACAGGGGAAGATGAGGGCAGGCTGTGCACACTGGTCCGTGCACAGCTGGTCCGTGCACAGCATGCTGACGTGGCCCCGGGGGCTGGTGAGTCAGAGAGGCTGTGTCAGCGGAGCCCGAGCTGTGCCGTGCACTGCTGTCCCATCTAATCTAATCATACAGTAGATAGCAATGCATCCATATCAGGCATGTAGTACAAAGGTGGTGGGTTCGAGCCCGCAAAATGGAAAAAATTAAAAAACAGCTAGATGCCATACCAAGTCGT